GTGTGTGTGTGTGTGTGTGTGTGTGTGTGTGACTGACATTCCTGAAGATACTACACACACAACAGCATTCCTCACTGCTAACAAGGAGGGGACAGGGGGACACTCCCCTCCACCTGACAATGTGTCCCCCGGCTCTTAATCCGGGCGTGTCACGATAAATAGTTGGCTCCGGTGTTTTAGTGGAGCAGAACAAACAGCCGAGCGCCCAAACAGGTCCTGCTGGGAACCTGCTCTGAACAGAACCGAGAGATCTCGTTTCGGCTGCGCTGTCAGCGTCGGACACGTCAGGCTTTTGATTTGGCACAACTCCACAGTTCTGAAAAAGTTGAGACGCTGTGTAAAAACGTAAACAAAAACAGAATGCAATGTTTTGCAAATCTCGTTAAGAGGACTGAATCTGTCAGAAGTTCAGCCGGTGGCCAAAATAAAAAAAAAAAACATCTAAAATTAGTGGAACAATTTCAGAATAATGTTGTAAGACTTTGAATATCCATCTACAGCTCATAATGTCATCAACAGATTTCAAGTCTGGGATTTTTTTGGGCCCTCAGGAGCCACTGCATTAAAGACAGGTCAGGTTCTATTACATCATCACTGTATGGACTCAGGACTCAGGAGCACTTCTATCATTGTCTGTAAACAAAGTTCACAATACCATGCTGGTTAAAGCTCTATCATGCAAAAAGAACATTCAGACACAGCTGTCGTCTTGGGGTCAAAGGTCATTTAAAAACGTGCCAAGGTAGAGTGGAAAATTGAAGTGGAGAGGAACCACTGTTGTCAGCACTCATTTTAAAAGCCTACCTCTCTGATGATATGGGGGTGCATTTGTACTGCTAGCATGGCCAGCTGAAAGGCACAGTGTGTRGGATTTTGTCAATTCTTTTAGCCGAAATTGAGATAATCACTAATGACAATAATAAAAACATGTCTAATCATTGCAGACAAAGACCTTGTTTTATTATTTTTACCTTATAAAAAGCTGTTTATATCTCCATGGTCGCGGGTCACCACTACAGGC